TTGAGAGAGAAACATTGATTGGTTGCCTCTAGTACACACCCCAACCAAGGACTGAACCTGCAACCCAGACATGTGCTCTGACCAGGAACCAAACCAGTGACTTTTCTCTTTGTGGGACAATACCCAACCAACTGAGCCACACCAGTTAGGGATCTCTGGAGATTATGAAAAGACAAGGAAAGGTCTTGGCCTGACATGAGCTAGGATATCAGATGGGGATTCAAGATAAGGTGTATAAGAAAGCACTCCATCATAGAGGAATAAGGTAAGAACACTATTTTTGGCCCCAGCTGGTGTGGTTCAGTGGATTGAGTGCTGGCCTGCAAACCAAAGGGTTCGATTCCCAGTCAGGGCACATGCCTGGGTTGCGAGCCAGGTCCCTGGTCGGGGGTGTGTGAGAGGCAACCACATGCTGATGTTTCTCTGCCTCTCTTTCTCCCTCTCTTCCTCTCTATAAAATAAACAAATAAAATATATATTTTTAAAAGAACACTATTTTTGGACCCTATCTCAGAGTTGACTCAGGAAAGTCCAACTCCATGCTGAGCCCAGGAATTGTTAATTATAGACTCCTTATATTCTCAATATTTATGGAAAGGACTGGAGTAAGATTTTAGGTGTAAGGCAAGGAGCAAATTAAGGCTTAATGAGGCCTAAAGTTTATATTACATAAGTAATTTTTTAAGGAAGAACTAAAAAGAAAGAAATGCACAGTTATGTAGGATAAGAAAATAAAATCTAATACTTTACTGTGTCCTTGGAGCTCAGCCCCTTTTTCCTGAGATTCCCTGGATAGTTTCTAAGAAATGCTTTCTTAGAAAATCAGTCTTTCTCAGTCCTTCCTTCCTTCCTTCCTTCCTTCCTTCCTTCCTTCCTTCCTTCCTTCCTTCCTTCCTTCCTTCCTTTTTGTTGTTATTTTTCCAGTAATTGTTCATTACAACCTGCCTTCATTTCCAACCTCAGATATTATACAGCTCCCAACTACCCCAACATTCACCAAGTCTGTTGCAAATGACAGAAAATGACACTTAAACATTCTCAGGTTTAGGGGCAAATCCGCCTCTGGGCAGAGATGATTCTGGGTGAAGGAGTTGAATAGTACTGAGATGCAGAGGAATGACAAACCATAAGGACAGAGAGGCATAAAAAATCATTAGAATCTTCATGAGAATCTGCACTCATAACTGGTTTTTGCTCAGCTGGTTGGGCCTTGTCCCCACAGAACAGAGGGTTACTGGTTTGATTCCTGGTCAGGGCACATGCCTACCTTACAGGTTTGGTCAGGCTGGGTCATGTATGAGGGGGAACCAATTGATGTTTCTTGCTCAAATTGATGTTTCTCTCCCTGTATTTTCCTCTCTCTAAAATATATATATATATATATATATATATATATATATATATATATATAATCTTTAGAATCTACTGTTGAACAAAATTTTTTTTTTATATTGTCGACAAAAGGGGACCACAACTAAGCATAATGAGCTCAAGGGGGTCCTGTGTGGTGGCCTTACAAACTCAGAGACCTAAAGTAACTTGTAATGGGGTGCAGAGCACGGGTCACCTGAGGGTGGGGGAGGGGTGGCCCACCATCCCCCCAGATCCCGCAGGGAGGTAGGAGGAGGGTGAGGAGGGAAATGCCCAGAGTAATGAGTTATAGCATTAACACACGTTACAACAAAGGCAGGTTAACAGCCCATGACTTCCTGAAAGGGGAGATCTCAGAACTTGTGAAAGGTTCCTCAGAGTTGTGTGACTGAGAACACGCAGTTGCAGTGACCTGTGACATAGCCCTGGGGTGTGAGGGTGGGGACAGAAGCTCACACAGCAGCCCATACAGCACCTAAATGAGGTGTAGGAGAGATGCCTTCCCCAGATGCTCATGCATTTTTGAGACTCTCGTCCTGACTGCAGATGGCAGTCAAAATGGGGTTTTGCCTCAAACCCTGACACTGGGGAGCTGACAAAAGTGGTGGACCTAACACACCGTAGGAAGAGCTGGATGTCAGACGGGCAGAAAGTTCTAAACTGAGCATTTAAAATTGGAGTGGCAGATATTGACGGGGGACTCAAATGTTGGAAAAATTTTAGTTTCAGGTCATAGCTAAGAAGCTTAGAAATCAATGTATGTAAAAAGCTGTTGTTTCAGGAACTGGAGGTATGACTCACCTTGACTCCAGGAGACCATAAGCAGTCTAACTTTGTGCCTCGGGCAGACTCAAATGATCAAGATGGTATCTGAGCCATTGTACTCCAGTGTGAGATGCCCAATGCACAGGATGCAGATGACAGAATGCTGCAGCTTTTCATCTGATTAACTTCCCCCCTGAATTCCAATCCCCTTACCTATACTTTTCTTCTCCTTATAAAAATGGTCAGTTTAAAATGGAATTTAAGACTGCCTGTTGGGGTACAAAACTGCCGTTTTCTTAGGTCACCAGCCATTTGAATATGTCTCCCATAAAGATTCAACCCCTGTCTCTGCTTATTGGGCCTGGTGGGTGACGGGCAGCACGAACACTGGCTTTTCCCATTTCAGTCCGAAGGTCAGTCTTCATGAGTTGCCTGGAAGTCTGCCCAGAGGTGTGCCTGAAGAAGATGGCGACAGAGCTGATGGAGCTGTGGGGACCTGCCTGGCCACCCAGAGTCATAAGAGATTGTTGGAGCTGAAATGTCACTGGGAATGCAGAGTTTCAGACTTCTGCTTTCCTGAAGGATGTACACAGAAGGCACTCTCTTGCTCCTGGGATAGTGTAACAAAGCACATGGTTTCCTGAACCTCTACGTGGAGACTGAGACCAGTGCACCCCAGGAGGGAGCCCCTGTGAGAGGACGGTGACCCTGAAGCACAGCAGTGCATATTCCAGAGAGGATGGAGATCTGTTTGTGCGACTGGTTGATGGACAGATAAGGGTATGGGGAACTTCTGGGCATGGTTTTGGCTTGTAGTCTCTTGGGGAGCAAGGGAAGTGCTTGGTCTTGTGGGAGAGGAGGGCTCTGAGCAAGAGTGCTCTCAGATCCCTAAGTTTGGCACCCTGTTAATAAAAACCTGTTTCCTTCCACACAGATTGCTGAGTCATGTACATTCAAGAGAGCAAGTGGCTGAGCCCCAGTTTGCACGGTTACAACCACATAGGATTGTGTGGTTGTAACCGCACAATCTAAATTTCCATAATTGTGTGGAAATTTAAATTTTTTAACTAAAAGCAGTTTATGGTGCGTAGGGTAGTCATCTCCTAGGCTAGAAACTTTCCTGGCAAAAGTCAATCTTTACCTTAATTGAACCTGTCTGTTGTCTTTTGCATCTATGGTAACATGACTTTGGAATGTCAAGGTAACATCCCTTGTTCACACTCCTTGCACGACCAACGCACCAGGGCAGAGAACACAAATCCCTTCAGTGTTATTGGGTTAATTGTTGACTGTTAACTATCCTATACCCAACTATGTAAAGGAAGTACATGTCTATCATTTTACCTTTTCATTCAATCCCAGAGGTTTCCTCCACTTTGCTTTCTCCTACCTCCCTAATCTACCACCAGTGGCTTTCGTATAAGGCCTTTATACCTCCTCTTTTTGATGGAGGACTCAAGAGTTGGAAAATTTTAGTTTAAGGTAAATAGTTAATAAGCTTAGTAGGTAATGCACATGTTAAAGCTATTGTTTCAGGAACTTCCAATGAGGTCCACTTCCGGGAAAGGCAGCAGACCTCCTGGGGCACAGCTGGAGCCACTGTGTTCCAGGGAAAGACAGACACCCGCTTGGGGACAGCTAACCTCCCAGAGCAAAAATCTCGCAGTATTTTTTAACCTAATTTTACCTGAATTTCAGAGCCCCTCGGTGCACTTTGTTTTCTGTTATAAGAAGGCTGGTCTGAAAGAAAATGTAAGAGGGTCTATTAGCGTATGAACTCACTGGATCATCGGCCATCTGAATAAGCACCCATAAAGATTCAATCCCTGTCTCTGCTTATTGGGCTCGTTATGTGACAGGCAGCACAAATACTGGTCTTTTCTGGCTTCATTTTGATTGTAATGTATAAAATAAGGTGCAAAATCTTCACTTTCTGGAACATTTCCTCAATCCACTGAGTTTTTTCTTCCCAGAAATTTTTGTCAGTTTGGCTCAGGTAAAGTCATAAAATTGTTACAGTTTTGGACATTTCTTACATCGATAGTACTCTATTTTGGTTAATCATAATGTCATACTGGTGTCACATTTCCACCTGAAAGGGGTCAGGCCAGTTTCCCAGCCCTCTGGACTGCACACGACTCAGTTATCCCAACTCAATTGATAGCCCGCGGCTTAATCGAAACTCTCACCATGCAGAATAGACATCCGGCGCCAGACACAATGGATGGTGGTCAGACTGACCCTGGGAACAGCCTGGCCCTTTACCTAACCCATTGTCCCGGCTCACATCCTGGAAGGCTGAGGCACCCACCCAGAAGAACAAGAGACTAACCCCTCTCCTACCCCCCACACAACCCCATGAGTTTTCTTTTAAAAACCGCACTCTTGCCTCCCCAGGGGCTGCATTCGATCCAGACTCAGCCTGCCCATCAGCCTGCCTGTAAGCACAGCATCAAATAAATGCACTTGGATCAGATCATCTGGTTCCTCCTGCCTCTATTTCTTGCGAATTTCTAACACCAACAAATATGTCATAGCTTGGAATTTCGGTAAAATGTGTCATGGCTTGGAACTTCTGTCAAATGTGTTTGGAAGACAGTGCAGAAGCCACAAACTTCTGCTAACCTTTTGGAGTGACTCACAGCCTAGACAGCTCTATCCAAATCAGCACAGCTAGTCATCACACATCTGTTAGGATCATCTCCGGGATGCTCTCTGGCTCTTGGCACTGCCCTGGCTTGCTCTTCTTACTTTGGATCTGGCTGAATTTAGTTGTACAACTGACATAATTTTGTTAGGTACAGGGTTTCACAATTCAGATCTACCTAGGCAGTGTGAGTGACAAAAAAAGGTGGGGGGTCCTAGTGCTGGCTTTGGCAGCACACACACTTAACCTGAACAGCACAGAGAGCAGCATGGTCCCTGCACAAGGATGACATGAAGATCTGTGAAGTGTTCCACACTTTTAAATGAAGAAAGAATTAAAAGAAAAATGGGGTTCCATGGGAAGCAGGCAGGTCATGGTGGGTAGTCACATCCCAGGCATAATTTATTTATTTTTTCTCATTTTTTTCTCCTTTCTCTGCAGGTTTGGTCCCTCATTCCATCCGCGTTGCCACAAAGAGCAGGGATTTTTTTCTTTCACATCCTAGTGCAAACGAAAAGGGTAATGTCAGATTGTTGAAGGTCTATCAAGGATGCAGATAACTTCTTTAATAAGAGGGGTATCTTTGCCTTAAGCAAGCCCTGTGCATTGTTTCTGTGCATCTAGATTAACACACCTTTGAGGTAAACCATAACCACCCTCAAGAGAACACATAATCTTAATTATCCTATAACACAGTCCTCACCTTGCTTCCTGCGCTTGCCCTCCTGTGTTCTTCCTTATATCCATTTCTTAATTTCAAATGCATAGAAGAAGCTGCAAAACTGTTATCCTAGGGAGCATTTTGAGATTTTGCCTCCCTGGCATAAATTGGGTGAAGAAACATATTTTGCTTACCATATGTTAAGCAGTTCACTTTTATTTTTCTCATACCAATTTTGTTTGGATACCCTACTCTTGGAAAAAGTCACCTTGGAAATTGTTCCTTTCAAGTTCTGCTTTAAAAATTAAAGAAAAAAGTGCTGAGACCCACAGAGTATGCTGTAAGCCTCATACACTTGGGTAGACAGTGCCTTCCCCTTGGTGGAAACTTCCTCACCTGCAATTCAAAGGCCACCCACTGACGCCGTCAGGAGAGGCCTCATTGAGAAGGAAGAGTCACAGAGTGGAGGCTCTGCTTCAGTGTCTCCCACACTCTCTCTCCAGTTTGTGTCTTTCAAGCTGTGTGGTTTCTGCTCCCATCTAACTAAGACTTTGATCTCAAATCCTTATCCTCAATGGCCTTTTCTTGTGCTTCCTCTTATTTCCTAAGTCTCTCTTCTACAGAATTATATTTGCCTAACTTTATCATTCTGCTCTGCTGACTCCTCCAGTCCCTACTCCCTCCCTCCACTGTGCCCCTCCCCTTCCGCCCAACCCAAGGGTCTGTTTTCTCTTAGTTTTAGCTCTTGGCTGTTTGCCTTCCCTTCTTATCTATTTCATTTAACCTCTCCCTCCCTTTCCATCCCCAGAACTATTAACACATGTTCTCGAGGCTTTATCTCTCATTCATTCAACAAATATTCATTGAATATTTACTCTTACACCCACATTCATTCCAACAAATTTTGCTGGCTCTACATTCAAAGTCTATTTAGAAACTGACTTGCTTTTACTTCTACCAAACAGGTTGAAACCACCCTCATCTTCTGGACCACTGCATTAACCTCCAAGGTGGTCTCAGGTCTTGTGTTTAATTTTCCCATGCATGTCCCTTAGTCTTAGTCTAACCCAGCATCTGGACTCTGTGACTGTCTCAAACACTACGTAAGATCAAGTCACTGCTCTCTGCTTAAAACCATCCCAATGGTGCATGCACTCTCTCTCTCTCTCTCTCTCTCTCTCTCACTTGTGGTAGGAACAGCCTCTGCAGTGTTGTTAATACATTATTGTTATCTAAAGACACACTGTTGTGCAGCAGATCTAGGATTTATTCATCTGGCATAATAGGAATTTTGTACCTGTTGATGAGTAGCTCCTTCTGCCTTCCTTTCACCAGCCACTGGCAACCACCATTCTATCTTTTGCTTTTATGAGTTAGTTTGGCTATTTCAGTTGTAAGGGGAATCATGCAGTATTTGTCCTTCTGTGACTGGCTTATTTCACTTACATTAATGTCCTCAAGGCCAGAGTTGTTACCAGGCTCTACTGGAATCACACTGCTATATGTCTATTCCGCCCCCCCCCCTCCTTTTTTACCTCTCTGGCTTCATCTCCTGCTAATTTTACAGGCAGTGAACTCCTGCTCATTTCCTCCTGGCCCAGTTCCAACACTCCCAATATATTCTGGCCTCAGAAACCACTTTTTTCCCTCGCCACTTTCAGGTCTTTTCTTAAGCATCCCCTTCTCAGTGAGGCCTTTTGGACCTGCATCAAAGTTTCAGTGACCTTCTTGGTTCTTTGCAGTTAACTTTCCTGATTTATTTTCTCTCTACCACTTTCACCGTTATATGTTTATCTCCTTCATTATCTAAGAGTAAAAACTATATAAAAACAGATTTGTTTTGATATATTTGTTTTACCAGACTCTAGAATAGTGCTAAAGATGTAGGCATGTAGGCACACAATGTTTTTTATTTTTAAGTATATTTTATTGATTATGCTATTCCAGTTGTCCCATTTATTTTTTTCTATTTGGCTCCCTCTGCCTACCTTCCCTCCAGCATTCCCCCTTCACCTTAGTTCATGTCCATGGGTCATGTGTGTAAGTTGTCTTTTTCCTTTCTTATGCTATTCTTAACATCCCCCTGTATATTTTGTTCGGACCAATTATTTTTCTTGATCCTTACACCATTTCCCCCTTCCCAGCTGATAACCCTCCAAATGATCCCTAAACCTATGATTCTGTTTCTGTTCTGGTTGTCCATTTAGTTTTTGTTTTTATTTACTTTTTTGTAAAAGAATATTTTAATACAATATTTTATTTATTCATTTTTACAGACAGGGAAAGAGAGGGAGAAAGAGAGGAAAAGAGACATTGATTGGCTGCCTCCTGCATGACCCCTACTGGGGACCCCTACTAGGGGCCTGGCCTGCAACCCAGTCATGTGCCCTGACCAGGAATCAAACTGGTCAATTCACAGGCCTTTCAATTCACAGGCCGGCACTCAATCCACTGAGCCACACTAGCCAGGGCAATTTTTTTTTTTACTCTTTTTTAAAAAGATTTTATTTATTTATCTTTAGAGGGGAAGGGAAGGAGAGAGGGAGAGAAATATCAATGTATGGTTGCCTCTCGTGAGTCCCCTGCTGGGAACTGGCCTGCAACCCAGGCATGTGCCCTGACTGGGAATCAAACCTGAATCGCATGGTTCACAGGCCCATGCTCAATGCACTGAGCTACACCAGCCAGGGCCAAGCCAGGGCTATTTTTATTTTTTTATATTTAGTTGATAGTTGTGAGTTTATGGTCATTTTAATGTTCATATTTTTTATCTTCTTTTCTTAAATAAGTCCCTTCAACATTTCATATAATAAGGGTTTGGTGATGATGAATTCTTTTAGCTTTACCTTATCTGGGAAGGACTTTATCTGCCTTTCCAGTCTAAATGATAGCTTTACTGGATAGAGAAATCTTGGTTTTAGGTCCTTGGTTTTTTATCACTTTGAATATTTCTTGCCAGCCCCTTCTTGCCTGAAAAGCTTCTTTTGAGAAATCAGCTGACAGTCTTATGAGAACTCCTTTGTAGATAATCTGTTTTTCTCTTGGTGTTTGTAAGTCTTTCTCTTTATCTTTAACCCTTGGCATTTTAATTATGATGTGTCTTGGTATGGTCCTCTTTGGGTCCAATTTGATTAGACTCTGTGCTTCCCGGACTTGCATGTCTATTTCTTCCTATTTCTTTCTTCAAATTAGGGAAGTCTTCTTTCATTATTTTTTCAAATAGACTTCTAGTTTCTTGCTTTTTCTTTTCTCCTTCTGGCACCCCTACAGTGCAAGTGTTGAACCTCTCGAAGTTGTCCGAGAGGCTGCTTATACTAGCCTCATTTTTTAAATTCTTTTTTCTTCTTGTCTGTGTGGTTATTTTATTGCTTCTTTATGTTCCAAACCATTGATTTAATTCTCAGCTTCATCCATTCTATTATTGTTTCCCCGTACATTGTTCTTTATTTCAATTCGTGTATCCTTTGTTTCTGACTGGATCCTTTTTGTGCTACTGAGTTCCTCACTCAGCTTGTGAGCACCCTCATAACTAGTGTTTTAGAATCTGCATCTGATAGATTGCTTATATCTGTTTTATTTAGCTCTTTTTCTAGAGTTTTAATCTGTTCTTTCATTTGGGCCAGGTTTCTGTGTCTCCTCATTTTGGCGGCAACCCTGTGTTTGTTTCTATGTATTAGGTAGAGCTGCTTTGACTCTGAGTCTTGGTAGAGTGGCCTAATGTAGTAGGTGTCCTGTAGGGTTCAGTGGCACAGCCTCCTCTATCACCCAAGCTGGGTACTCGAGGTGTGACCTCTGTGTGGGCTGAATATACCCTCCTTTTGTAGTTGAGACTTGGTTGCTGTTGGCAGATTAATGGGAGAAATTTATTCAGGCCAGTCAGCTGCAAGGACTGGCTGTGACCACTGATCACCAACCTCTACCCTCCATGGAGGGTAGATGACTGTGCACCCCTATTAGCTGTGCAGGGTCAGGGTGGTGGTACTCTGTGGTGGTGGTAGTTGTCCACTGGGTGCGTTGGCCGTGGGATTTCCTGGGTGGTGCGGGCCAAGGCCAGCCCCGACCTGTGTGTTGCCCAGGGCCACTCTTCCTGAGCTATAAAGCAATCTGAGAAGGCTGCTACTTGTACTGGGCTTGGAGATTCCCAGGTGAAGCCAAGCTGTGAAACTAATCTGGTTGCTGCTAGTGCCCAGCCTGGAGCTCACTCAGGCCAGCCATTGCTTGGTTGATAGGATTTAGGAAGCTGTGAAGCAAGATACAAGACCAGTTATCCATATGGAAAAGCAGCTTGGGTGGTCCTATAAGCTGGGTGTGGTGGAATCTCTGGGGATCTCCAAGGGGGATCCGGATCAGTGTTATCCAAGTTGGTGATGTCCAAAATATGGCAACAGCCAGCCAGTGCTTTGGCTCTGTTAGGGAGAGTCACAAAAGGGACAATGGCCTCTGCTTACTCCAATGTCAGACCCTTTAGCCTCTCCCAGTATGTCTCTGGTGCCTTTTAAGCTGCCACCCTGGAGCTGGAGCTGGAGTTCAGAGGGAATGAGTCTGAGTAGGTGAGTGCGCGTGTGGGTTTTTTTAAAGAGGGACTGCTTGGGGCTCCAGAAATTTCTTCCACTGACTCAATCCCACTGGTTTTTTCAGACAGAGTTGTGGGGACTTATCTTCCAGGCACTGGGACCCTGGGCTAGGGGGCTTGTGGTGGGGCTGGGACTTCTTATTCCCTCCTGAATTTTTAGCCACTGTATGGAGTGAGAGACCAGTTTATGCCATGTTTGTGTCCCTCCTACCAGTCTCAATGGATGTGGTTTCTTTAATTCTGTAGTTATCAGACTTCCATTCAACTTGATTTCTGAAGTTTCTGAGTGATGGTTGTTCTATGTTTTAGATGTAATTTTGATGTGGTTGTACAAAGAGGAGACTCATGTCCGCCTATGCAGCGATCTTGACAGGAAGTGCCCCGAACCCCACCCCAGCACACAATGTTTTTAAATGAACATATGGGTGAATACATGCTACTATGTGCCAGTCATTTAGTATGCAATAATGCAAAAAATTAGACCTTGCCCTCATTGCCCTTCTATAATGAACAAACTAACAAAATCTGTCCAAAAAACCCTAGAGAGGTTTGTTTAAAGAGTTAGAAAGCATGGAACATGAACATCTAAGCCAGCTTCAGCCTAGGGTAGGGGAGGCACTCAAGTTGAGCTTCCTGTAGGAGGTGGTATCTGAGTCTGACCAAAGTTAGCCTAATGCAAGAAGGAGGACAGGTTTGGAGAAAAGCTTTTTAGATAGATAACATGAACCAGGCAAACTTTAGCCAGCTACCATGTTAGATTTAACAAGGCACCCATTACCAGCTAACTTCCCTTTCCTTTATCAATTCACATTCAACTACCCTTTTACTTCAAACTCCCAACAAACTGCTGGTCTTTAAGTCTTAGTACAGGGTTGGCTGCTGGAAGAACCCAATTCAAGACAGCGACTATTACCCAAACTCTAAGGAATAAAAAATGGCAGCCTGTGGGAGATAAAACAAACCGGATTGGCTGGATATAGGATATAGGTAGTAGTGATTACATTTGATAGCAAAGGAATTTGAATTTTACATTAAGGAGTTTGAATTGTTTCCAAATTCTGTATGAAATCTTTGAATATGGGGATGAAGTAATCAAAAGGATATCTGAGTATGATGAATCTAGCTGTGGTATCCAATGTTATAACACTGGGGGCAGGGAGCGTGTACAGGAAGGAGGAGAGGATTCAAATAGCACAGTTAAGGTATATTCAGAAGTGCATTAGTGAGGTGGCAGTGAGCATGGAAAGAAACAGAGGGAGGGAAAATGTGAAGGGAAAAAAGAACAGGATTTGGTATTAAGTTCTCTGTGTGTAGCGGGGCCATGTGAGTTAGAGAGCAGCAGTATCATTAATAGAGATGAGGGAACTGAGTGGGATTTGGATTTGATGAATTAAAAGACATTTGGACTTTGTGCCAGTGGAATGTCCAAGGAGAGATATTCAGCAGACAGCTGGAAATACAAGAAGGCAGGAAGAATTTTATTTCAGAATTGGGGCTTTTTTCAGATGGTGATACATGTGTCTGGCTATTTTGAAAACCCCAAAGAAAAACTTGCTTTACACAATTCTTACAGCCCTGACCTGTGACTCAAAACAAAATGGTGAGTGTTATGGTAACCTGCAATGATTGGCAGACTTTGCAGTAGAAGCACACACACACACATGTGATGTGGAGAGTCTATAAATGTGCATGAGGTCATGAAGGAAGGCAGAAAGCTAGGTTCTAACCATGCAAGTTCTTGAAGACATAGGTCAACCAGGGAAACAAGAAGTCCAGTTCAAGGAGTTTGGCAGAATTCAGGTGCAGTGGACAAGTTTGGAGTTTTGGAGGCAGAGATCTGGCCAAAAGACCAGCCATTTGCAGTAGAGCCCTCAGACTCAAAGGACTAATATTATTTGCCTACTGCCTAGTTTTAAAGAGTGGTGCTGGCCACACACTGGAAGATGTTATGAAGGAATCCATCTCTTAGATTTTTCTTCTTTGGGCTGAATCAACCTCATTTCATTCTTCTCACAGGTCATACTTTCCATCTAATTATTTCTTATTCCTCTCTGAACTTTCTCCAATTTTCCTTTTAAAATATTGAGACCAAACCTTCAAAACACAGTTAACAACTGGCTTAGTTCTGAGCACAGGAAATGATTCTTTTTCTAAAATGTCACACCCCAGGGAACATTTCTTTGCAGGTTTTTCCACCTGTTTTTTATGCAACCATTTAGTGCTCCTCTTATCTAGATATCATGCTAATTGTAGACAAAATGTAATTATAATGAAATATATCTTTTTCAATAATTTTTTGTTTTTACTTCAAAGGTTCAGAGTTGGAAAGGGTATTGGCTCAAATCAGTAGATTACAAAATACTGCCATATTGCCACTCTGATTCTTGTCCCATAATACAGCTCATGTCATGAAATACGTGAGGCAGTATCTTCACGCTTTCACCTTAATTTGTATTTTGCCCTGCTCATTTTAACAGATTAAATACTGGATTAGCTAAAATGTGAGAATAGGGAAAAATGAAATGTGCTTAGACAGGAGTCAAAACTGCAAGCAGGGGAGGACGCGCCAAGAAGCCGAGAGATGGCTGAGACATCTCCGAAAGTAATTTTCCATGTGGACTGAAGGGCGATCTTGTAAGGCACAGCCCCAGGTTACACCGCTGGGCTCCAATTTCGCGGGATTTACAAGCCATTACTGGAGAGAGTCGATGGCTTTCCTGGCACTGGAGGAAGAGGAAGAAGTGTTCACGGGAGAATAAAAACTTTCAGTTTAGAGTAACAAAAACAGAGCCTTTGTTTTGCTGGGTGAAGAAACGTGACCCCTGCGTTTAACAGGGGTGGGGGTAGGAGATCCATTTCAATGCCAGAGTCTGGCTAGGTGCCACTCAACCTACGTTGGTGAGGATTTTCAGCCACTTCTCACAGGGTAGTATCCAAGCCCAGAGAAGGGAAACGTCTCACCCTTGGAGGCTAATGGAAAGAACTCGGCTGGGGCTGGGGCAGCAGAGGTAAGCGAGGGGGAGCGCCGCCCGCCCGCCCGCAGACGCCCGCGGCTCCTCCCCGCTCTCCCAGGCCCACTCCCAAACTGAAGTACATGCTTCCCGCTACCAGCCAGATCCCTGCGTGAGCCTCTACACGTAGCCGCAGACAGTTCCCTAAAAAGGCCGGCGTTGAGCAAACAAACCCAGACGTGGGGCAGAGAAGCCGAGCGGAGGCGACCGCAAGGCCGCACGCAGCGGCGCGCCGGGTCAGCTGCGGCCAATAGTCGGGGCGCGGCGCGGCCCGCCCGCCCTGTCACCTCCCACTCGGGGAGCCTATAATTCGCTCGCTGTGCCCAGTGCACCTCCGCGACGGCCTGATTCAGGGTGCGGGATAGCTGCGCGCACTTCGCTCGCCCGCTTGCTCCGGCCGCAGTCCCCGTCTGGGGCGGAACCGGGGGGCTCTGCGGGTTCTCGCGAGAAGTTCTCAGCTGCTGGGTCTGCGGGTGACCTAACCCGTGCGGGCCCTCCCTGGGCCGAAGATGGGGGTGTGCGTAGTGAAACCTCAGTTCCTATGGCTGGTCCTGGTCATCCAGCTCTGGAAACCCTGCTTAGGTACAGACTTGGAGAAGCCCTCCAGCATCCCCACAGGTGAGCACTCCCTCGACCCGCCCCCTTCCCGTGAGGCTCGTCCTAGGGGGCAGTTTGTTCATCTTTCAGCACTGGGCGCGGGGCTTGCCAGGGAGTAGGTCGGGAGCTCGTCCCTCCCCGGCATCGCAGAGGTGCGTGCAGACTTGAGGATTCCCAAGCCCGCTGATGATGAGAGTGGGGTGGACTGCCCCTCCGCCCCAGGACCACAGTGCTAGTCCCCACGGGAGTGGGAGCGTCGGTCCTCCGGGGCTCCGGAGTTCTCTGTAACCTGACAGCGCAAGAGTTTTCCTACTGTACAAGTCTGGGTTCCCGTTTGGTTTTGCAGGACACTGGGTACCAACACCTTTCCTGCAACTCTCCTTTCTCCTCCTTGAGTTAGCGTGATTTATCCGTGTTGGACAAGGCAGTGCTCCTTCTGTGACCTAAACACGGGGCTCAGTGTACTTTCTGATTGATGGTGACACATTCCTTCCAAGCGCCCCAGGAAGCCGCCGGTAACACCTAACTCTTGCCAAAAACAACGCTCAAGACCTTGGTTGTTTTCAGTAAGGCTGCCTAGTTACCCAATACCTTTAGGCAGCAGCTTTCCTCCTTAGGGATTTAGAGGGGAAGCTGTGGACACACAGATTCTTCCCCTAGCCACTCTTTTCCTAAACCTGGTGCCGGTTCTTGTTTTCAGAAGCTGGGACTGCAGTTAATAGTCTGGTCAAGTTCATGTAAAACAAACTTTTTACATTTAGCCAAAGACAGTCTCACCACACGTTTGCCTAAACACATTTTGCTGCCATTTGCCACATATGAGGTGTCCTTGGAGTTTTCCATTTTTGTGTTTTAACTGTGTGAATTACCTGAAATTATGTCTTGCATATAAATGCCCTACTATACTTCTTTTTAAAAAAAAATTAGGATCATTTGGCGTTTTTTTTGTAAGTACATAGGGCACTTTTCTGCTTGAATTGTGCTTAACACAAAGACACACATTTCTATTTCAAGCTTACACTCTGAAGTTGACCTTTTGGTGTAGAGCTTAGCTAAAACATGTAGCAGTAGTTTTGTCTACGTCTTCAAGTGTTTCAGAAAACCTCAGTGGCTAAGCTGCCCATCTCTCTACATTCCTACTTTGTTGGCTTGAGAAACCAGCATTCAGATGGATTTCTCCCAGTTAACACGATGCTTTTTCTTTCAGATATATGTGATAGTTTCAAATGAATTTCTTTTTAAAAAATATTTATTCATTTTAGGGAGAGAGAAAGAAACACTGATTTGTTGTTCCAATTGTTTATGCATTCGTTGGTTGCTTCTTGTATGTGCTCTCACTCACTGTGGATGGACCTTGCAGCCTTGGAGTGCTGGGAGCATCCTCTAACCAACTGAGCTACCTGATCAGGGCTGACATAGATTTCTAAATCCTCTGTGGTTCTTTTAAATGTGAACTGATTTTTTCCATAACTTTAAACTTTTCTTTTAGTGTAATAGCTAGAACACAGCCAAGTAAATAAATGTCTTCCACAAACTTGGAAATGGAGACATTAAAAACAATTCACTAGAAAAATGACTTTCTTTTCTAAACACCCAAGGAATCTTAGTGGGAAATAAAATAACCTCTAATGGCTTTGCACTTTTAGAGGAACTTCTTCAGCCTTTGTCTATTTTATTTCATTTAATCACCAACACCCTTTTTATAGGAGGCATTTATTCCTTGCTGCCTTTAACTTTACAGTCCAAATCATCTTTCCCTCCCCTCTTTGGCTTTTGAGTTTCATGGAGCTGGACGATAAAGTTTTAATGGACTGTAGTAACATCAGAAAAGGGAATTTCAGATGTGAATGATTTCCTTAGAAAATGACTACATAAAGCCTACTGGTGAAATCTGAGGACTAGTTGGTTTTGGTGGGTAGACCTGGGGAAATCAGTTATTACCAAAATGCAGGAAAAATATTAATTTGTAATAGGTAGAGCCAGCAGTAGCCAGTTTGATCATGAATTTTTGTGTAGGTAGATGTGATAAGCTAATATATATAGATGGAACACTGCTTGATAACATGGCTAGAATCCTGGACTATATTCATTCTCCCTAACATATTTCAAGTGAAACGTACTAAATTGGAAATTTTTATTTATGTATTGGGTTGGCCAAAAAGTCTAGTAGTGCTAGACTCTAGTAGTGCTTACTTGTCTTTAACTTCATTCAAAACAGTTTTGTTAGATCATATTGTGACAGTTGTCACATTGGCGTGCATTTAAAAAAGACTTAATCAAAATTGGTGAATTTTTGTGCAGCCATTTTAATATTGAAGGTGGAAGAAGATATGCAATATTTTTGGCATGTCATGCTTTATTATTCCAAGAAAGGTAAAAACACAACTGAAACACACACAAAAAAGATTTTCCCAGTGTATGGAGAAGGTATTGTGACTGATCAAATATATCAAAAGTGGTTTTCAGAGTTTCTTGGTACTATTGACATTTTGGCCAAATAATTCTTTGTTGTCAGGCTGTCTTATGCATTTGAAGTGCTTAGCAGCACCTCTGGCCTCAACCGACTAAAATTCCAGGAGCACCCTCCTCCAGGCATGAGAACGAAAACTGTCTCAAAATGAAAATTGGCCCAGTGTGTCCTGAGGGGTTGAAAATGACTGGAGGGGACAAATCTCTGTGTATTTAAAGCAATGTAGCTTTTAGTGTTACTGGAATGATAATAGCAACTCTTTTTCAAAAGCAAATATTTATAGTGATTTTCTGTTTTTCCACTATAGTGGGGAATGTACTAATTGAATTACAATAATCAGAATTTGGAATATAGTTCTTTCCTAGCTTTGGTGCTGTGTATTGACCAGAGTTGAGAATATTGCTTCTGTTATATTCACTGAGCATTCTGCTGCATGCTGTTTTTATTTCTTTTTGGTTGCCACTTTGTTGTTCTTAGCATGGAAAATAATCTAAAAAAATAATAATTTTTCTCAAAATTATTTACAGGAATTTTACCATAAAATTATATCCCCATGGGGGCTTTCATGGCAACACCCTCCTAAATGAGTGTCAAAAAAATCAGGTTCATACCTTGGTTTATCTTTCCTGTACTTTTCTACCCTTCAGATGAGAGGAGAAGAGTGGCTATATTCCTGTCAAGCATTTGCAACCAGGTCTCCAGACTAGAATCAACATTTTTGTGTGTTTTCTAAGGCACCTTGACTATTTCATAATATAAATTGGGCAGAAACCAAGTTCTGGGCAAAAATGGAGGAAATGGTTTCAGATGTTTCTGTCAAGACCAGTATTTTTCAACCATGTTCATTTACAAACTCTTTAATTTACTCTGGCCCATTCAAGGAGGAAAGGAGAGGTTTATCCCTATATGCTGATGTAAACCGGCAATTTATGGGGTGGAGAGAAAGAGCAAGGTCCTGGAGAAACCTCTGGAAGGAAGAGAGAGTCTGTTCTCTGTGCAGTTTCTTGGTTTTGGGCTCCAGTCACACACATCTTATTATCCTTAAACAGATTGTGCCTTTTATTTCACAGTATAAACACGGATGTATGAAACAGCTCTGGACAGTGTTAGGATAGGAAATGAAAATTAAATTGAGATACCCTTTTCTAGCCATCGTACTGGCTGAAGCATTTAAAATGAACTCTGATTACACTAAGTGTTGTAAGGATGAGAACTTTCAGACTGTTGATGAGAGAACGACATCTTTGGAGAACAATTTAGTAACGTTTGGTAGCATTAAGAAGCCTCGTATCCTACAATCCTATAGTACAGTCAGCCCTCCTTATCTATGGGCTCTATATCCAAGGGTTCCACGTGCTCAGAATCAACTGACTGTGGACTGAAAACAATATTTTTTCATCAGCAGGTGGGAATCCATGGTTGCAAAGGGCTGACTTCATACATTTTTTTTTGTTTGTTTGTTGCACAAGAAAAGACTGATTTTATTTTCAAATTTTTGGAAATAGTTTGCATACATTGCTGCACACCATTTTATGCAAGGGATTTGAGCATCCGCAGATTGTGGTGTCTGTGAGGGTTCTGGAACTAATTCCCTGCAGATTTGAGGGACAACTGTAGTCTCAAATTTCTTTGTCTGCCTGTTCTTAAAATTCTGTTTAAATTTAGCTTCTAGGAAATTCTTCCTCCTACTATCTTTTGTTTGGCTCTCTTTTGAACTTCGTGAGGCAGTTGGTTTATACAAATCATAACTGCCTTGTATAATAGATGTTTATGTTTAATAAATTATAAATTCTTTGAAGGAAGGACTGAGTCCTATTCATCTTTGTGCTCTTCACAGTACCTTCCCTGTTTTTTGGTCACAAAGAAGAGTCTCAATTTATTTTTCTTAAGTTTTTGACGCACTCAGAGGAACATGAAAAGTGGCATGCAGTCAGTAAGATTGCTAGCTGCTCCTTCTCCCAGGATTTTAATGAAATTCACTGAGCTTTCTCTCTCTATCCTGGGGACCTATACACCACCATGATCCAGCAGTTTACAGTGAGGCATCAGGTAAGGTCTTGTGTCTGAATTGTAGTTGGCAACTCTTCTCCATGGTGCTTTTTACACACATGCACAAACACACTTTGGTTGAAAATACAGAATGCTTCACAAATTTGCATCTTGTCTTTGCACAGGGACCATATTAATCTTCTCTGTGTTGCTCCAATTTTAGTGTATGCACTGCTGGAGCGAGCACTCCATGTTTTATTTTTTGTCGTACCTTTCTTGCTCATTTCTGAGTCACCTTCAGAAATGCATTCCAGTGGTTGGATACCCCGATCCTCTTTTTATACATGGTGAAATGAGATTTGGAGTGCTTATGTGTGCAGAAGATCACATAGCTGCAGAGCTGCTCCAGAGGGGTTTGTGCCCTTTCTTCTAGCCATGCACCCTCTTTCTTGAGCTCTTCATTGTTCTGTTGCACTTTTAGGGCCTGTGGGAAAGCAACAGACTGGTCATTTGAGACCTAAAGAAGCAGAAAGAATGTATTGCTAAAAGAGAAAGCACAGACTTTGTAACTTTATGTAAATAGTCTGGGGTGGGGAGATAGGCACAAACTTTTAGGCAAACTGTGCCCTAGGCCAGGGGTTACAAACTGGGGCTCCCAGGAGAGGAAGGGGGAGAGAGACAGAGAGAGAGAGGGAGAGATATCAACGTGCTCCACTTATTTATGCATTCATTGGTTGATTCTTTAAAAGATTTTATTTACATTTTTTAGAGATAGGAAGGGAGGGAGAAAGAGAGGGAAAGAAACATCCACGTGTGAGAGAAACACTCATCGGCTGCCTCTCACAGGCCACCAGCCAGGGACCAGGCCTGCAACCCAGGCGTGGGCCTTGACAGGGAACTGAACTGGTGTTCCCTCAGTTTGTAGGCTGCACATTCAACCCACAGAGCCACAGCATCCAGGGCCATTGGTTGATTCTTGTATGTGTCCTGACCTGGACTGTACCCACACCTTGGTGTATCTTAATAGTACTCTTAACCAACTAAGCTTTTCAGCTAAGGCAGTTTTTACATTTTTAAATAGTTGGAAAATAGCAGAAGAAAACTAATATACTGTGACATGTGAAAATTATGTGAAATTCAATTTTCAGGGTCCATAAAGTTTTATTGGCTCACAGCCACGTTTGTTCATTTACATATTGGCTGTGGTTGCTTTGGTGATATAATGCAGAGTGGCGTAGTTGTGGGGACTGTGTGACCTTCAGAGTCTAAATTGTTTACTCTCTGGCTCTGTACAGGAAAATTTTGCCAACTCCTGCCATAGGATGTAACATTCCCGCTTCAGCTGTGGCTCATGCACCTCTACTGCTCCTTTGGAAAGAGCCGGACTCTGGACAGTAGCAGCTGGCCCTGGGCATTTGACGTATCTTTTATTAATTGATTTATTTTTTAAAGTGTAAGGTACACAGCCTGATGGTTTGATTTACATACAGTGTGAAACGATTACCACATTAGGTTCAGCTCACGTCTATGTTCTCATATAGATAGGACAAAAGGAAAAGGAAGAAAAGAAAAAAAAGGAAAACGTTTTCTCATTGTGGTGAGAGCTCTTAAGATTAACTCTCAACAGCTTTTCTGTATATCACGCAGCATTGTTAACTGTATTTATTGCTAGTGAAGTTGTACCTTTTGCAGAGGTCTGTTTTTCATTTTAGACCTTTGAATTCCAATATAGAGCTTCTGTGTTACAACATTTCAAACACGGAGCTTACTGCTAACTAGACATGTACTTTGGTGTGAATAATGTAGTTGTGATCAGAAATGAATAAAACACACCAATGGCCATTTGGAAAGGAGATGCATATTTCTCCTTCAGAGCTTGTGTGTGTTCCAGAAATCTGATCTCGGAACTGGGTTATACATTTGTGGCTAGGTTCCTGGGAAGAAATTTTTAGCACATTTATCAATGAGTATTTTTATTCTTCAGTGTTTGCTATAAATTATGCTAAACTGAGAAACTGGTTGCTTTTGAAGTGACAGATTTTTTTCTACTATATTTTACTAGTTTGCATGTGCTGTGTACTTACTGAAGTAATAGAACTAATTTCCAGACCGCTTGAGATTTTAGCCAAGAAATAGTTACCCGAACAGGAGAAATGGTGAGCGGTGGTTACGGTGTTGCCTTCACACCACTTACTAGCTTAAGGCCCGTCTGTTGGCCCTGCCTTTGTGGTTGTTACTGAGGATGGTCTAGTGGTGCAACGCTGATTGCTACCCTCGTAACTGGGTCACAAGAATGCCCCTTCAAATACTATAAACAAATACTGTTTATAATGAAAAAACACGGTGGCATCAAAAAACTTTCAAGGTTCCCCATTCAGGGCAACTTTAAAACAGAAATCAAAGAGCAGAGGTATGTTATTTTTCTACATAGGGGAAAGATTTTCATTACATATTTTCTTTTGTGTGTTAAAGAGGAAAGTTTGTTTTTACATGTAAATCTTAATTTAAAAAATTCAATTCAGGTTGCTACATTTACGTATTTAATTACTAGATTGATTAATAAACATTTTTCAGGCCTTAATTTTATTAGTAGCACACTGTAGCAGTTTGGGGAAAATAACAATCATTTTTTATTCCCATTGAAATATGGATACATTTCCTTAATTTCTTAAAGGAGATGCAATTAAGTGAGAAAAATGCTTGATTTGTTAGGTTAGAAATATACTTTGTTTACTGTTTCTATTTTGCTATAAGAAATTTGCTTTAAAGTTTTGTTTGTATAGGCTTAGAATCAAATGTCTTATTAGGGAGAAAGCTTTATTATTTTATTACTTTTTAAAAAGATTTTACTTATTTTCTGAGAGGGGACAGGAGGGAGAAAGGGAGGGAGAGGAACATGGACGTGTGAAAGAAGCAAAGGTCGGCTGCTCCTTGCGTGGACCCCAGCTGGGGACTGGCCTGCAACCCAGGCACTGGGTCCTGCGAGGAATCACTGGTGACCTTTAGCTTTGCGGGAGGACGCCCAACCAAGCCACAGCAGCCAGGGCTAATTAGGGAGAAAACCTTAAATAGTTAGCAGACAATCTTTGCTTTTATTTCAAGCACAGTCAACAGTGAAATCTTTTCTGTTACTGTTCTTTTTGACCTTTTACTCTTCTGACAAGGAAGTAACCGTTTCTGGGCAAGTTTCTGAGGGACGTGGACACTTTGTCACCACCCAGACAGGCATTGTCTGCTATGTCTGGTTATCTGCTCCCTCTTAGCTGGCCTTATATATATATATATATATATTTTTTTTTTTAACTCAAACTTGATTTTTATTAGAATGTAGTTATTTCTTCACACTAATAAATAAAAAAATCCAAGACCCAGGTTTCTACATATACATAAATGTATATAAAAAGCAATGCAAACAATTATTGGGCTTTGTTTTCTGGACAAGAATGCCAAGTTAGTCTCTCTCCATAAGGAGCGATTACAATTTGAGGACACTTCACATTGGCCTCTCTTGCCAGCACCAAGTCTGCCTCGTCTGAATCTTTCCATTTCATGAGAAACACTAACTGTCCACTGCTGTCTGTGGCACCGGTCGTTCGCTCAGGGTCCAGACCTCTGGCACAGCCTCTGGGTTTATCAGCGGCATCTCTTTTCTTCTCCGATTTGCTATCATCGGATTCACTGTCAGATGAAGACTTTCTTTTCGTACTGTCTTTTTCGTTACCAGGTTTTTGAGAATTAAGAAGTGCTTCAGTTAACTCTGGACAGTCTAAATTTCTTCAGGTTCCCAAGTATTGTCAGCATCTGTGAATCCCTTCCACTTCAGGAAATTCTCCACCTTCCCATTCACTACTCGTCGGTCCAATGCTTTTTCCAGTACAAATTCTTCAGGCTCTGCCTCTTTAACTATTTTACTCTTCCCATTCCGTTTCTTTCCCATTTTTTGCAATGCAGTCTTATTGGAGGCCATTTTTATTGCAGAGCTGAAGAGCTGTTATTCACTGTCTCGTGCTGCTCCGGACCCCAAGTACATGGCGTCTCCCTGGGCTCATATTTACCCCTGTATTTATAATCAAAATTTTCACTAGCAATGAAAAAAAAACCTTATATTTAAATTTCAGCGTAATTTAAAGAACATGCTTATTACTGTAAGCATACCATATAAAACTTTACATTTAAATAAGTGTTTTGGAGGACATAGAGCTAAAATGAACGGCTAAGTGGTCAACAGAGGTTTTTGTAACAAACAAGGTTGAGTTTCCAAAGTGGGCCAAAGTTAAAATTGAATTTCATTTGATTGTTATGTTGATTTTACTATTGCTTTTTTTAGTTTGTATGCATAAGTCATCCTGGCGTTTATTACATTAGTGGCTCATCTGCTCATTTTCTTTAGGGTTACATTCTCGGAATTTTAAAAGGAATTGGACGTATTTTCTAGTTACCTCTATTATGATGTAGAGTTCCTTCCTGAGAGAGACAGAGGGTTTGCTTCTGATGTTAAGTGCTGGTTCTGCCCCTCTGTACTGTGGGCACCATTTGGTAAAGATTCTTAGGGCACCAAGGGACTTTCAAACACATGCAGTTTTACCACTCTCACCCTCAGTCAGTCCCAGACACTCAAGGGCTCCAAGCAGACACTGAATCTCTAAGGAGATCTTGCCACACGGCTTCACCTCTGCAGGCACGGCAGCAAGTGGAAGACGTTGGCGGAGTCCAGGCGGTTTGGGTTTCTAATTCTGGGACACTGTTTAGGAAATGTGCCAGAAGTTATACTTCTTAATTCCAGTGACCCCCAAGCCCCAACACAGAGCCCATGTCCCATCCGCAAGGCGCCAGCTTTGACTGGTCTGTTTTGCAGGTTTGAAGCCAAACTTTCATGGGGCCTTTGGTTGCTAATTACAGGTGCAATACGCTGGGCTAAGAAGGGAGCTGGTTGCTTTTAGGTAATTTAAATGTTTTCTCTAACTGGTTCTTTAAACATGTAATCATTTTCTTCCTGCTTCTAGGAGTGTACTAAATACCAGCAACTGTTTTAGCATCTCAGAAAAAATTCAGCAAATACAGAATTTAAATAATTTCGTAAAAACTAAGAAGGTAGCTAACAGTCTGCAGGCAGGCTAAAATGTCCCAATTCAATCACCTGGGAAGTCTTAAAGAGCTGTTATGCAGAGGGCAACCCTGACCCTTGATGGGATTTTCCAGTCAGCTCACAGGCTCCTTGTCTTCAGAGGCTGCTGGGTCTTTATTGGC